GGGGTCGCGCCCCCCGCCGGGAGCCGCCGCCTCGGTCTGAAGGGAAGGAGCCGAGACAACCCCGCATCTCAGCACCACGGAGAGGAGCGAGCGGATCGGGGTCCCAGGGCTGCGCTTCCTGCTCGCCTTTGTCCCCGACCCACCGGCACTTGCTCAGCTGCCCCAGGCCTGCGGTGAGAGGAGGCTGGTGGCTGCTTAGTCCCGGCTCCTGGCTCCAAAGGAATTTGGCCCGCAGCCCCAGCTGCTCTCAGCTCCTTGGTCAAGGCCATGGGCCTGATGCATGATATCATTGTACATATTTATTAGTAAATAGACCTCGCTGACGAAATCCCAACCCTTTAGCACGTTTAATCCATTACCAACAACTTTTACTGTGTAAAGATTTGCTTTGAAAAAGGAACCAGGAACTGGCAATAAGGAACCAACTTCACCCTCCTGCAGGAGAGGGGATCAGACCATCAGCTGCTGTCAAACCAGCACAGCCTTCTCATTGCACCAGAATACATCGGTTCCCAGCAGGGGAGGTACTCCACCTGTTCCAAGGCACTGGTGCAGCTGGGGAGGTGCTTGACTGGAGAAGCAACAATGGCAGATAAAGAAGATGGGGCTTTGGGCTTTTCAGCAAAACACTGCAGGGACTGCATACACACAGCACGATGGGATGGCTGTGGTCTGTTGTCCACACTGGAACCACATCTCTGGCCAGACAGAGGGTAACAGTGGGAGATGTGTGTGTATTTATCCCAGGTGACGCAGTTGAAAGGGGAGGTTTTCTGGGACTGGTCAAGGGTGTCTCTTGTAAGATATGTTCTGAGTGAAACATACAGTGGCGGTAGCCTGGGGCTAGGAGGGCTCTTGTCATGAAGGCTGCGATTAGGGCTGCTTTGGAACATCCATCTCCAACTGTTATACCCATGTAAAATTTGTCATGAACTACAAGGCTATTTGAAAAACTATGTAGATGATCACGGGAGTCCCTTTCTGGCCTTAGAGGCTCAGCTGCCAGAACTAGTCTCCAATGGGACTTGCAGGTGCTCTGCACCTCTGACATTTCCAGCTGCACGTGAATCACCAAACTGCACATGCCAGCTCCTTGGGGAGCCAGCCCAGGCGGTGACTGCAGGGCCATGATGCTTACAAAGAAACCAAGGGTTATGTAGAGAAGTCAGCTCACTTTGCTGTTGCTGGCAGTGCAGTAGGAGTACAGCTATACTCTTTAGCTACACCACAGACCTTAGAAGGGTCTGACCTCATGCTGCAAACCCAGACAAATAACAATTTTAACTACTGCTTTTCAAAAAGATCCAGTAGGCATAACCCAAAGCACCATGTAACTGACCAGTTTAACTCCAGTGAAAAAAGGTTTGGTCACCATTTCAAACTGGCATTCGGTCACATCTCCAGTAAGCACTAGGAGGAAGTAAACATTGGTACTTAACTTGTTGAGGTTGGGAGCTGGAGTTCCCATGTGCTCTGAATGGGAGATTTTACTCTGAGCTGGTAAGTACTAGGGGCGGGGAAGGGGGGGGAGACCATGGGGGGACCCCT